AGAGAGAGAGAGAGAGAGAGAGAGAGAGAGAGAGAGAGAGAGAGAGAGAGAGAGAGATGAGGATGATGATGTGAGGGCACATACCTCGCCTTGGCGATGGTCTACAAGGTCGACATCTTCAAGTACTTCGGTTGTTGCTGCTGACGTCAACAGGCTGCATTGTCAATTCGTAGGCTCCTAGTAGCTGTGTGATTGTAGTCTGGGCACTGAGCGCCAAGTAGAGGAAGGACTCTGGATACATATGTTGGTGGTGGCGAGAGTATGCTCTCAGAGACTGATTCAGTGCTTTGGTTTTCCATTGGTGGAATATCAGCGCATTTCTTCTTTTTGGACAACATTGGACTTTCAATGTGATTTTGCACTCTGGATTTCTGTCATTTCGCTTTCTCATTTTCCTTGCATGTGGGAAACATGTGTGGAAAAGGCAGATTCGGGCACTTCTCTGCATGCCCAGCAGCCCCCCATCACCACCTTTTTTTCTTTTTTTTTTAAATACCTCGCACGGGTGACCCGTGCAGCCACCCAGCCGAGGGGCTCAGGAAGCCTAGCTCTGGCCGTCATTATTGGAATGTTGCTGATTAGTATTATAATCATGGCTATGATCCACACGTCCGGACCGCCGTCCAGATGGTCTGGATTCAGTCCAGACTCCAGACGTCCGCTCTGGAAGGTCCGGATCTGGCAAATTTCAAGGAAAAGAAAACACAAAAAAACGGTCCAGGACCCTTCCCCACTGAGGAGCCAAGCCCCAAAAATTGTTTTGGGGGGTTTTCAGGCCCGTTTATGCTTTTTTGGGGGGCCTGGATATTGCAAGGAAAATAAGTAACAGCGAGATGACAATTCCACATCACACCATCACATTGAAAGCCAAATAGTCACATTGTGTCCAGAGAGCAGCATTGCACCAATAATACACCAATGGAGGTTCATAGCACTGAAAACCAATGTTCATGGAAAGCATACTCTCTCCTCCCAACACAAGAGTCCAGTTCCTTCACACTCACACTTGGCGCTTAGCGCCCAGCCTACTCCTACACAGCTACTACAGACTACAAAAAGACAATGCAACTGTTGACATCAGTGGCAGCCCGAAGTACTTGAAGATGTCGCCCATGCAGACCATCGCCAATACAAGGTAAGTGCCCTCACATCATCATCATCATCATCCTTCACCTATCCCCTGACTACACCCACACCTGTCCTCTCTTTCACCCAAAGACCACCCCTGCGCTTCACTGTA